AAAGTAACAGCATAAATGGAAAGTCAGAATGAGTGATGATTTCCTAAACAAATACCAACTGCATTCACAATCCTTTGTGGACATTTGAAATTGTTCAAAAGGGACAGAACAAATGGGGAACTTCTTGGATGGCCCCTAGCATGCAGAAGCCAGATAGGCAGACTGACAATGCAATTACTGGTATACTTCTGGCAACCATCCAAAGAGGACAATAAACGAGACTAATAGAATCTTTGCAGTGGTCAACCACACGGGCAAAAAGAACACATTCATGGTCACCTACTTTGGGATGACAACGAACATATGAATCTTGCATTTTGGTAGACTATATTTTTTTACAGTAAACCACATGAATAGTTTTGCAGACCTTCAACAGGCTAGTCTGTCGAGCATTATCGCCAGAGAGTCCTCGCCAAGAAACCTCAAATTGATATGCCGAATTTGGTGGTGTGATCTTTTCCGCAGCTACTTCCTTGACTCGGGAAGCAGCTCGAGAAGCAAGCTCTTGTACCGATGCCTTCACCTCTTGCTTCCTAGTTGTGTTATTTTTCTACAAAATTATCATAATATAGACTAGTTCAAGAGACTAAAAGACACAGATGCAAAAGAAATAAATAAAAGTCTAAAGCAAATAAGAAGATAAAGCCATTGAGTCTAGATAACATGGTAGGAGTACACAACATATAAGTCTGGTAAGAACAACATATAAGTCTGGTAAGAAGCTATAAAGAAAAAAGCAATTAATAAGGTTCATAAACAAGTCTATCTTACTTATTCACCTGTTACTAAGAAGAAACGAAAACTCAATGACAACAACAAAAAATCAAGTAAAAGGAGCAACAAAACACTTTTCTTTTTTTCAGTGCCAAACCTGGAGGACAAAGCAGCCGAAACCGAAGAAAACCAATCGAAGCTTGAGTTTGATAGAGAAGCGAAGTGGCTGTGACTGCGAGTGCAAGCTTCGTGTTAATATTTAAAGAGTATAGCCGGTCGGCTATACTCTTAAAATATTCGAATATATTAATATTTACAGAGTCTAGCCATGCGGCTATACGTTTAAAATATTTCCAGCTATTAGCCCATTGGGCAGGAATAAAAAAAAAAGGATTTTATTTATAACAAATAATACGGGTTAAACCCATAAATACAACAACAAAAAATAGGGGTCCACCAACATTTTGTGGATCAAAGAATGTTGAATTTCGTAGTATAAAATTGCTTGTATAGGAATTTACTTTTTAAAATGTATCCATTGTAATTATGAACTAAACCCAATTACAGTTTTTTTTCTCATTGCACTTGACAACCCTTCTCTTCTGCTATGAGATATATCAGTCCGCGATATATTCTATGCAGATGAAAAATTGGATACAAAACAATCTAACGAGACAACGAAGAGAAGTTTGCAGCTCTGTTTAGAAATAAATTAAAGGTAACATAAATCATATGACATTGATATACGAACTATTCTAAATGAGAATTCAAACAACATGTGTTAGATGAGAATTACTTAAACTCTAACTAAAAGCATAAAAATAGGAAAACACTTTCTCACGACATCTCTCCGCTATGAAAGTGACTAACTAGACTCCTACAATTACTCAACTAAAGTTTAAAAGACATGCAACTCTATAAGCATTCAACAACTAAAGACACGTTGCCACTACTTGAAGCAGTTCCACTAAGCACGTGACAGAGTAGGGTCCTGCCTCCATCTTTCATGCATGTAAAGTCATTTTCTACTTCACAGTTTGGTAGTTCAAGTGAGCCCGCATACTATCCTGGGATATATGAAAGGATTGCGGATAGTGATGAGATCATGAGAGACTGATATATCAAGCAGCACTAGAGGTATTTCTGCAGCCATAAGTTAACGAGGTACCAAATACCTGCACAGTGTAAATAGGATCTGGAACTTTTCTCGTTTTTTGTGTGTACCAAAATTTGCCTCTAAAGGCTAAAATACAGAATTTGGCCACAGGGTGCAAATTTTGGTATACAAACAGTTTTATATGAGTCCATTGTGTACTTGGCTTATTTTTGTAATTTTTGTTACGATATGTGTTTTGTTCTGAGATTTATTAAAATAAAAATGATTAGGTATAGAATACCTGGGAAGAGCCTTCTACGTTTGGAAACCCAAGAAGGGGTTTTTCTATGTCAAGACAGTTTTTTTAATTTAATTAATCAATTTTCCAACGACAAAAAAAATTTAATTAATCAATTTATTATTTATTTAAATTAAAATCCATGTTGGAAGGATGTGATTGGTGATAAGAAATCCACCACAGCCGGTTCTCCAGTTTTTTTAAGGTGGTTTTTCTTCAGAACTTATTATGGATGGTTGGATCAAAATCATTTAAATCCAGCCGTTGAAAAACCGGTTAGAATTTTCGCTGGACTCCAGAAACCCTAGCTCTTGGTCTTGGGCATCAGATCGGAGCGCTCTGTCTCCCTCCTCCCTCCCTCTTTCTGTGTGTCTCATAAAACCCCAGCAGCTTCCCCCCTCTTTTGGCATCGAATCGATGGGCAGTATTGTGGGCGATCTTGTTGGCATGAGTTGGAAAATATGGTTGTATGGTCAACACGTGTGGGCACGTTAGCTTGTTTAGAGAATATTGTTTTATGGCAGACAGTTAGCATGTGTTAGGAATGATTTAGACAACTAGCTTATCTTTATCTCCATACTTTTATGGAGCACTTTCACTTTGTAATGTGTATATATATTGACCTCCCCATTTGGAGGAATATTGAAATAAAACTACTCTGCATCTGACATGGTATCAGAGCGTTAAGCTCTTGAGACCTGAACTGATCTATCCTAGCTTTCCATACCATTTTGTTTTCCGCTGCTATTACTCATATCCAGACCCAGAAAAGATTACCACTGCCAACTGAATATCTAAACTATCCAACTGCCCACTGCATATCTAAACTCTCCCACTACCCACTGCCAGAACTGCTCTATAGCTTGCTGCTACCGTCTAACTGATCCAATCCTCTTCTCTTTACCAAACTCTTTCTCTCCGTCTCTTTTTTCTACATTCCCATAACTTTATATTATCTTATTTTATCTTTTCCACATTCCCACATGCCCATCATTCTTTACTTTTCTCTTTCCCATAAACTATATTAACCTTTTTCTCCTTTTCCCATAATTTTTTATCTTTCTATTTCCCATCCGAGACAACCTTGTCTCCCTTTTCAAACCAAAGTTTTTTGAATAATATTCTTTATTCATTTACCTATGGCTGGTGATAAATTTGAAAACTTCCAAATTGCTCCTGAGAAATTGACTGGAAGAGTCAATTATGATTCCTGGGCTCATGCTGCTCGCATGACCATAGCCAGCAAGAAGAAGCTCGGCTATATTACTGGTACCAAGAAAGCTCCTAAACAGGAAGATGTTGATGCCTATGAAGATTGGGAAGAAGAAAATTGTACTGTTCAAACATGGCTTCTCAATGCCATGGAAAAACATGTCCGTGCTCTGTTCGATCGTCTTGCTACTGCCAAAGCAATCTGGAATGCTGTAGAGAAAACTTATTCTGTGGGTAATAACTCCTCAAAGATTTATGAGTTGACCAAGAGATCTGTCAACACCGTGCAAGCAGGACGCACCCTGGAGGCTTATTATGAGGAATTGCAAATCATTTGGCAAGAACTTGATTCTATCAATCCACCTCAAATCAAGAATGAAATTGATCTCTGCACTCATTTGGTAACTGTCACAAATTTCCGTGTATATATCTTCTTGGCAGGGCTGGATTCACATCTTGATGCAGCCCGTGCATATGTGCTCCGCTCTGATCCTCTTCCTGATGTCTTAGAAACTTATGCTATGATTTGTGAAGAAGATGTCCGACTAAAAACCATGTGGAGTGAAGAGAAGACTAGTGGAAGTGCCATGGCTGCACGCAAGGGATTCCAAGGACCAGATCGTGATCGTACTTCTTTTGCACACCCTCCTAAACCAGCCTTTGCTTCAAAACCAGTCATTGAGAGATCCTCTGCACCGTTACAGTCCTCTGTCAAGCACAATGGATCATCTCCTACTAAAGATGAGCACAAATGTACTTATTGTGGTAAAAACCATACTATTGATAAGTGTTGGAAACTTCATGGACGACCTGCATGGGCTGATGATTTGATTGCCCAGAAACATAGAAGCAGTGCTGCTCATGTCACCACTCAAACCACTGGGGATGAATCAGGTGATGTAACCACTAAGGAGGCCAAGCAAGGTAAATTTAGTTATACTTTATGTACTTCTACTTCTGCTTGTGATAGTGCATGGGTAGTTGATACTGGAGCGACTGATCATATGACTAATAATCCTAGGAAATTCACTACCTTTACTTCCACATGTTCAAAATATATCATGAAAACTGCTACTGGAGAAACAAATGTTGTCACTGGCATTGGCACTGTTAAAATTACCCCTTCCATGACCTTAACTAATGTCCTTCTTGTTCCTACATTAGATAAGGATCTATTATCTGTGTCCAAACTTACGGCAGAGTATTCTTCCCATTTTTTCCCACAACATTGTTATTTTCAGGATCTTCACACTCAGGAGGAGGTGGGTCGTGGTTTTAGGAGAGGGGATTTATGGTACTTTCATGGTTCAAAGTCTGACATTGTTGCACATCAAGTTAATAAGCAAGTTTTGGAGAATGAGAAGATGATTTGGTTGTGGCATCAACGGTTAGGACACCCATCATTTGGATATTTAAAGCACCTTTTACAATGTTTCGCAATGTCATTGATAAAATCCTTTTTTACAATAAAATATTAAAGACATGATGTTATACATTAGGTTCTAGTGAATGCAGATTATTACATACATGTGTGTGTGTGTGTGATTAACTGATGGGACTCCTTAATGAAATGCAAGCCTAAACTCATTATTAGGTTCTAGTGTTTTTCATTAGCTCCCATTCAAAGAAGTTGACGTATTTCTTCTCTGGATGGGCATGCATATTGGTGCTTCCATGAATCATCAACTGGCTGATTCCTTAGGACAGAGCTAAGAAAGTAATTAGTTTCAAACAACTGTCTAGTGTATGTCAATAAAATTATTAATTTCATGACTTCCAAGTCCCAACTACTTAAACTAGATCTCTTTTGTTTTATTATGTTGACAATATAGCATCAATGACCTTGGATGTTTGTTCTTGGGTTGAATATTGAAATATGCTTAAATATAGAGCTCAAATATAGAGCTCAAATAGATTTGGGGACATAAGTTTCTAATCCTTCTCTTTTGGAAACTCACTTCTCCTCTTTTGCAGCACTCAAATCTTCCTTTTTCTTTATAGTTTATTAGAATCAAACATGTCATGGGGTTATCTTCCTTTTTCTTAATTGTGCTTCACAAATCTTAGCTTAGCGAATTTCCTGATGTATCAAAGAATTGGACTTGTAACGTTGCTAGTTTTCATGGGGTTATCTTTGATATGGAACGCCTGAAAATCATGAACTAAATCTTGTAAGTCTTTACTAAGCTTTTATTTAACAATACTAACCGTGTTCAGCCATGGTTATAGAGTGTCTTCTTCACCTATGCAGCCTTTATTCTCTTGTCTCTTAGATAGGGTGAGGTATGTATTTGAGATGATTTGCTGCAAGGGAAGGGACCTCTATTTATATATGCATCACATCGATACCTTGCCTATCAAGAAGTAATCGTGTGTCCATGTTGCATTTAGATTAGGTTTAGTTCAATCCATAATATACTAGGAATCCTCTTCACACTTGTCTTCTTTAATAAACTCTGTATAAGTGTTTAGATAGAAGACTAGGTTTTGTTTCCTGATCAACTAAGAAAACCGAATCCTCTTAGGATTAGGAGATCACCTTATGTGGACTAAGACAAGATTTGTCTTACAAATCTCTCATTGTTGTTTCCATTTTTTAATTGAAGACATATCATTCGTTAAGAGGAACGAAAAATAAAATACTTGGAAGGATGGAAATAGATGTGGCAAGCTTTGATATTTGATAGTACATGGGAGTTTGTCACTTAAATAGCATGGTTCGTCCTTAACTCTTCTCTACAAAGACCTCCCTTGAATCATCAGTTGAATCAGCATCTCCAGACCATATCCTTAATGCGCGGCTATACTGTTTTTCACACATGGCGAAGAGAGCGTTAGGCCAGATGGGTCCTCTCTTTTTTTTATTTTAAATTTTATAAATAGTATAGCCGCATATGGGTCCTCTTTTTTTTTTAATTTTTTTTTTTTTATAAATAGTATAGCCGCAGATGGGTCCTCTATTTTTTTTAATTTTATAAATAGTATAGCCGGCCGGCTATACTCGGTGCTTTTATAAAAATAGTATAGCCGATCGGCTATACTCGGGATATTTTTTTATAAAAAATCGTATAGCCGGGCGGCTTTACTAGGGCATTTTTATAAAAAAAATATAGGGTTATTCGCAGCAATGGTCCCTCAACTATACCCGTAGTTACACTTTGGTCCACCAATTCAATTATTAGTTGCAGGGGTCACTCAACTAGGTGCTACGTTGCACCAGTAGTCCCTCCGTCAAACTCTGTTAAATTTTCTGTCAAAAATGAGGGTAAATTCGGAACAGCTTTTCTTTTTAGCATATCACCTGCATATCACCTTTTCTTTTTAGCACAGAAACTAAAGAACTCTGCAAGAACAGCTTTTTCATCAAAAACCCACTCGATTGTGAGTCCATTCCCATCCCCCAACTCCATCAATTGTTGGGTTGCAACTTCAGCCAACGTATCCAAGGAAGAAGAAGATGATGATGATGATGATGATGAAAAAACCCTTTTGTTTTGCTTGACCATGGCCTTCTAAGGAATCAAACACCCATCAAATCCATATCCACGAAGTGGGTTGCAGCAGCAATTTCTCATAGCCATGGCCATGGCCTTCTTAACATCATCTTTCTTCCAATTTTTGACGATAACAAAAACCTCAGAGAGAAGATTCAACCACATGGCGAAATGGGGCAGGCTTTACTCGGATTTTTCATATAATAAGTAGAGTATGGCCGCTCGGCTATACTACGGTAGAAAGCCTTGCTGCGAGTTGGTCCTTGTCCTCCGAAGCAAATACCATGCCCTCAAAATTTCAACCACGACAATTGCTTGCTTCGAAGCTTTATATGGTTTAACCAAGTTTCAGAATCTCCTGATTTTTAAGTTGAAATGCGCCCTTAATTCCGCCGTACTGTTTGCTGTGCACTTGCATGAATCAATGGAGCTGGCATTTGTTTGTTCCAACACAAACAGAGCACTCCTCTGCATCTCCAGCATGTATCAACACAACCTTACACTCGAATTTCTACTTATGGAGAAGTTGAGGACTGCGCAGCTAGGGCTTGTTCCTATTTCGCTTGACGACCAGCTTTGATTGCGCAATAAAACAGAGCAAACAACTGTCCCCAAATACCCCAAACAACGAAAAAAAAAATGTATAAACACAGAAGATGATGCAGATTTGGAAGAAAAATGGAGGGCAGATGGGTAGCGACCTAATCGACATGTTTGGGGCTCTGAGCTTCAACGGTCCAGTTGGAGGCGATCATTGGTATATAGGTTTTCTTTAAAATTGAGGGGAAATTTTTTTTTAAAACAGTATAGCCGCGCGGCTATACTATTTTTTAAAAGCATGATGCTAGTTTGGCCCAAGAGATTTAACATTATTAATGGAATTGCTCGGGGGCTCCTCTATCTTCATCATGTAGGTGTTTTAAGTGTGCAACATAACCCGACAGATAGCCGAGCATGCCAGTTGCAGTTGTAATGTTGAGTGGTGAAGGGTCATTGCCTCAACCTCAAAAACTTGGTTTTTATAGTGAAAGGGATCTCAATGGATTGGAAGTCGATCCTTCTTCTAAAGCATTTTCAGCTAATGAAGTCGCAGTCCTTTTACACTAATGGAGGCTCGATAAACGATATTTCATGTTGGTGTGTTAATCTAGTGCTTTTGAAGTTAGTTTGAAAAGTTAAATATAATTAAGAGATTCCCAACCCATGCGTTAGCGAATGCGCCCTCAAATTTTTTTTATTTGTTCTCTTCACAGTTGAGGTCGAGTTCACACTACAGAAACACAGATGCTAACAAAAGAACTAATATAAAAGCTTAAATGAATTAGGTTTTTCACTTGAGGTGGTGAAATATTTCATTTTTTTTTTCTGTTCTTTGGTGGGTTGGTTTTGTGTTCCTATGCAAAAGGAGGAGGAGACAACTCTTATTATTATTATTTTCTCTCAGCAAACACGAGGGCATGATCAACTGTCAAAATCTATAACAGAAATGCAATATCCAAGGAATGAAAAGCAGTCCAACCAAGAAGAACCATCAATGGCTGAATGCATAAAGATTTATCAAGCTTCAAACAAGAAGAACCAAACCAATCAATCTATTGCTTAACCAAACCAGAAATAAATAGTTAGAATTTGAGATTGGGGCCTAAAAACCGAACCTTGTTATTGGCAAGACCATAGAAACTCCATGATAGGATAGCCTCATCATTTTCCTTCCACTGAAGACAGACACCAAGTTAGCAAATTTTGTATTTGTTTCTTCTAGGGCATGTCGTCAATGCGAAGAGAGACGAGATTAAAGCAGAGTTGGCAGAGGGAGGAATTGTCATTGTTGTCGCTGGTGTGGTGAGGTGAACATGTCGTTTGGGAGAGAGTCAAGAGAGAATAGAATAAGGCGGGAAATAGAGAGAGGAATGGAATTAGATGAATTAAGAGTCGTATGATCTCTTCTTCTATGGACCTGACTTGTGCTTCACTGCTTCGGCTTTCCAATCTCAAGCTCAAATTTTGCAGCTAAATTTTTTCAATTTCGGGTTTCAGACTTTCAGTCAATCACAGTGTTCGAAAAATCGGCCTAGGCAGCTAGCTGGTCGCTAGGTGGGCATTAGGACTCGGAGGACAGAAGGCTCTGCCTTGGCAGACATTGAGAAAGCCCAATCCAATGGCATCAACGCAGCAGTCGAAGCCCCAAAAAAAAAAAAAAAAAAAAAAAAAAAAAAAAAAAAAAAAAAAAAAAAAAAAAAAAAAAAAAAAAAAAAAAAAAAAAAAAAAAAAAAAATAAAAATAAAAATAAAACGAAAATCAAAGCTTGAGTTGAGAGAGAGGCTCTAGATTGAGTCTTTGAAGCTTGAAAGCTCTTATAGAGAAGCAAAACGGCTGTGACTGCGAATATGAATGAACAATTTTGTCATATTATTTTAAGGTTTAGGGCTAAAATACCATTTTAGCCAACTGGGCTAGAGTTATTTCTTCAATTATTTTATTTATAAAAGCGATATTAGTGCTCAAAATGCTCGAATAGATTAATTTCTTTTTTATATAATTTTT